ATTAAAGATGAAAGACTTTAGACAGTTTTTCAACTCTCAGTAATGCCATAGTGATCGTTTGATATATGGACCTGCAGCGGAGTTTAGGCCCAGACACGGCTAGTGACGTCAGACTTTACGACCGGATTAGCCAGCACATCTTGTTAGCTTGACTGTAAGTTTGCTAATTTATCTCAATAGCCTACCATTAAATTCAACAATGTACCTTATTATCCTATTGATTCATATTATTAGCAAACATTAGCCTACTACAGTACGTCATTTCCTAACATAATTTATTAGCCCATCATTCAGTTAGCTAATGTAGCTTATTAGCTTACTATCACATTACACACATTAAAGTATCTTATCAGCAGAATAACGCATGTTATTGAGTATCATTACTTATGATTAATGAGTCATTTTATCTCATTAGCTTAATATTTATGCCCATTTTGACACACAACACAACTCAAGTGAGCAGGTTTAGTAACTTTATAGATGGACACCTTAAACAGGTGTAAACAATAAAAACTCAATGTATCGGACTGACTCCAAAGCTGGTTCATAGATTTTATTTAATCCAAATTAATAACTCCACAGTTTTTACCAATTTATTGTCAACTCATAATAACAACATTATCAGACATGAGACGCAGAGGGACATGCATGAATGCTTAAAAGTACAGATGATGGGGTGGTGACATTTAAGTGAGGAGATTCTTTGGCTACCATTTTTTCTTTCCTGGTTCCATTTGTTGGGATAATGTGTTCTTTCACCGTCAATCCACAACAAATTTATACTTATGCTGTCACTTTTATCATTTATAATGTAATAAAACAGCAGTCTCTGTAACATAATATCTCTGAGTGAAGATGGACAGGTAACAGCAAATACGACTGTGGCACTATATCCACTTTAAAGGATTGAGCTAAGTGCATCCAGCCAAGAGTGAGGGTCTTAGGCTTCTGTACTTACCACAGCAGGTTTCCCACAGTGGGCAGCACCCAGCAAGGCCAGGCTGTGGTAGAAATGGTACTTGTTGGCGGTTTCAAAAAGCTGAAGAGGCACACACACACACACAGAGCTTTCAGAAAAAACTCTGCCTTTCCCAGCCACTCATCAAGTTCAGTGAATCAAACATTTTCTGGAAAGGCCTTTTATTATCAAGTGTAGAAGTGGATATTTAGTGAGCCGCTATCAAGCACCATTTACACCATTCTCATCAATCAGCCCAAGTTTGGCCAGGAAAGTATCTCATCATTAAAAAAAAAATCAATTTCCTGTCTTTTTGCATTACAGAAGTTTCCTCCAGATTAACAGCACAGTGTGAAAATGTTTCACAGACATCTTTTAGTTTTCTGAGAGTAAAACAAATAACAGTCATACAGTCCACTAAACTATAACTGGAGTTGCACCAATTGGGCAGATACACTGATGCTTAAAATACAAATTTGGCCAACAGTAGATGCTGCATTTTTTTAACCCATCTTTCTTTCTTATTTGAATTTGTTACTACTGACTACTTTTTGTGTATAGTGCCTTTACGGGTATTTTGAGGTACTCCAGCTTT